TCTGTCAGACTTAGCAAATAAAAACATAGCCTAGGCTAAGCTGAGGGCATAGCTCAATGCTTGTTTAGCATGCGTGAGGCCCTATATTCAATCCCCAAAACTGGAAAAGGAGAGGCAGAGAGAGAGAGGAAGGAAGAAGGGAAGGAGGGACGGAGGGAGGGAGGAAGGAAGGAAGGAAATACATAAGTATGTATGTATGTATGTATGTATATAGACCTCTCAATTAAAGTATAATTTCAGACAAACAAGTAATGTTGTAGTACAAGTACATCTCATACATATCTGGCAATGTGTGTTTGTGTTTCCCCAAAAGAGATCCAAGACTGGATGAGAAGATGGCCAAGATGAGCTTCCCTAGTGGAAAGTCATAAATCCCTTTTGAGTTTCCAGAACTGAGCCAATTTTCATACCCAGAACTCATCAACTAAAAGAAAGACCCTGTCCTCATAAGAAAGGTCATTACAAAGCTATGGCATGTATATAAAACACAGTGTTGATTCCCACAGTCCTTGCCCACCGGAATCTTACAGTAGATCTTTGGTACAAATTGAGAGACTCTGGGCCATTATAAACTAGACACTATCAGACCCACGAAGTCATAAGGCTGCATGGATGCAGTCATCATCCATTGTAAGATGGAATGAATGCAGTCTGGATCAGGCATGGATACAAGGATACAAGCGACAGCTGCTGGAGAACAAGGCTCAGACTCCTACGCCGCCCACCACTACTTCACCAATGCTATATGGCTGAATGACAGGCAATCCCTTAGGAACAGCTGATGGAGGAGATTAAAGCCTGAGTTTTGATGACAGATGTCAGCTTGGTGTGTGAATGCATACCGAAAATGGGATACTGCAGCCCTGCAGCCCCACTCACTTGGGATGGCCTTGAAGACACTAGAGAAGGGGAAATCCTGCCAAAGGGCAGAGCATATAGTGTTGAACTTGATCAATGTTAGAATATTTTAGACATTTTGTGTGCTGTGGTAGATGACTTGATTTGTTGGTCAGGATCCTGGAACAAGTACTAGGAGAAGATTGGGGGACAGAAAATTCTGGGAAACCTGTAGGAGTCATTATGAAATGTGAAGTTCTCTGTGTCACATGTTAACACTCACCATAAAACATCCATCACGGAAGAAAGCATACAACACAAAGTAGAAGAAAATGACTTGACTAGTTAATATCAACTAGCCTCTGCCTACAGCCATCTCAATACTGGAACAATGAGGTCATGAATGAAACAGTGGTGGCTGTGGTCGAGGCTCTACCTGGGCACAACAGTGTGGCCTCCTACTCCCCAAGTGTGACCTAGCTTTTGCCACTGCTGAATCAGAATCCAGTACTGAGAACCCTTGATCTTCTATCATCCCAGAGAAAACCCACCAGTTACTTTTTGGCAAGTGGATTACATTAAACGCTTTCCAAACCCAACCTGGAAAAGACTCAATTCACTTGATAAGACAAATCAATTCACTTGACATTCAGGGTGTGAGTTTGACATTCTTGTCTGCAGTGCCTCTGGTAACCTTACTATCTAAGAATTCCCACACTGACTGATCCAGAATTGGATCTTGCATAGCATCACAATGGACCGTGAGACCCACTTTCCAAAAAAAGGCATGTCAGTGGACATATGACCATGGACTCTATCACATACCATCCCACTCTGAGGCTGCATACTGATGGATTAATAGAATATCCTTTTGAAGACGTAGCTAAGACATCAACTCAGAAATAACATCCTGATAGAATTTAGCACTATCCTTTGGGGTGTACTATACTTCTTAAACTAGGGACTGTTACAAATTACCATGTACCAAAAAGGTAGAATATGTGTGTCCAGCGCCAGACTGTCTCGGCCCCATTCGTCCCACCTCTCCCCCAGCACCTGTGTGTCCTCTTTCTTAACATTCTTCCTAAAGTTATCTGTTTCATGTCCACATTCCTTTCTTCATCCACAAGGGCTATCTCTCTTGTTACTACTACATTGCCAACAACCAGCATAAAACTACAGCACAGTAAAGACGTAATGATTGGAAGTGAAACAGCCATGCTCGCCGTTGATCCCAGTGACCACTTAGGACATTAGTATTTCCTGTTCCATAATCTAGGCTCTGAACTAGAGACCATGGTTTCCAGAGGCCAGAAACTTGGACTATGACATACAACAGGATTCTTAACAAACTTTAAGCTACCAAGAGACTGCCAAGAGACCAGTAGGTGGAAAAAAAGATTTCTCTCTTAGCAGAATGCATCTCTCCTTAGTATCAGGAAAAGGCAGGGCTGCAGGGAGCAGAAAGAACACAGAAACCGAGGGCTGTCTGGGATGCCCATTGGGCCGTATCATGTAATGTTGAAGGAGTGGGCAAGTGCAGCAGCAACCACCTGAAAAGGCCCTAGTGACCAGGGGCTCAGACTTCTCAAGTTGTGTCCTGCCTTATGGCAGCAGAGATGCCAGCTGGGACTGGGAGTGACCCAGAATGAGCAAGGACAATCAGATGGAGCCCCAGAATGGCTATAGTGGAACTCTACCTTTTCCTACTGACTTTCTTTTCATAACCTTCACCAGGGAGAGAGATCAATCAGGATCCTTAAAAGGCTATTTAAGGATGGAGTGTAGCCAGGCACCAGTGGCTCATGCCTGTAATTCTAACTACTCAGGAGGCAGAGATCAGAAGGATCACAGTTCGAAGCTGGGCCTGGCAGAGTGGCTTAATAGGTAGAGTGCCTGCCTAGCAAGTGCAAGGTCCTGAATTCAAACCCCAGTACTGCAAAACAAAAAAGGATGGGGTGAAATTAAGCAAATGGAGGAAGCAGTATGGGAGTAACACTATACAGGCAGCCCCTTCAGGACTACTCCCTTCTCCAGCATCTGGGATTGCTGTCCCCTGAGGACTCACAATTGAGCCCTGTCACAAGCATTACCCTCAGCAGAAAGCAGCTGTCTTATCCATGTTCATCCCCCTCTCTGGGATCAGCTCAAATCCAATGACTGGATGATGTGCCCCTTGCCTCAATTCAGGATGATCATGGGGCCATCCCAGCCTGAGAACTCCCTGTGGCATTGACCCAAGCCTCTGTTGCTGCTTCACTGTAATCCACCTTCTCTCTCTGCCTTGGCTCTTCCTTCCCTCCCTCCTTCATGGGTTCTGTTCCTGCACTCCCTCCCTGAGCCACCTGCACCTCAAGGTTTGTTTCCCAGAAAACCCAACTGATGACAGGGCACACTCAGATATATGAAGATAACCATGGGGTGGGGGACAGTTTAAATAGTGGTTTTCTGTAGGGAGAGTCTTGAGTATGGTGACATAGGGCAGGGAACTGTTGTTATATAGCCCTCCTGTACTTTTTGTTATTTTTAACTTGAAAATTTTTTCATTTATTTATTAATTTTGCTGTACTGGGGTTTGAATTCAGGGCCTACACCTTGAGTCACTCCACCAGCCCTTTTCCGTGATGGGTTTTTTCAAGAGAGGGTCTCTCGAACTATTTGCCTGGGCTGGCTTCAAACTGCAATCCTCCTAATCTCGGCCTCCTAAATAGCTAGGATTACAGGTGTGAGTCACCGTCCCCTGGATTTATTTAAAAATTTTTCAAGAAACTGATGCCATCACTCCTCTGTTTTAAACCTTTCAATTGCTTCCCATGGACCTTAGAAAATCCTTAAGCATTCTTAACGTGGCTTGTAAATCCCTCTTCCCTCAGCCCCTATACAGTCTCCTGTCTTACTTCTTGCCCTTTCTTCTCAATTCTCTCTATTGTCTGACATCTGGATTTTTCCTCATCCCTAGGATTCAAGCATGCTGCTCCTCTGGAATAGTTTGCCTGTCCTTCTCTCTACCTGGTTCACTTCTGTTCATCCATCAAATTTCAGCTTAGATGTCTCCTCCTCAGAGAAGTCTTCTCAACCCCTCCCACCAACTGTCTTCGGTCCCCTTGGTCATTCCCACAGTACCTGTGCTCTCTTGCTCTCTCTCTCTCTCTCTCAAACTGGGGTTTGAACTCAGGTATTGCTTATGTAGCACTCTACCACTTGAGCCACACCTCCAGTCCATTTTGCTCTGATTATTTTGGACATGTAGTCTCCTGAAATGATCTGTTCCCTGTCTACTTTTCCTTTCTTCATCCACGAGGGCTATCTCTCTTGTTTCTGCTCTATTGCCAGCACCCAGCACAAAACTACAGCACCGTAGACATTAAATATTTTCCAAATAAATTAATTTTGCTAAAATGTTTTCTGGAGCCCCGGCTCTATAATCTGCAACAAGTTGAATAACCTGTCTGGGACTTGGTTTGCTCAAGTGTAAAGTGGGTATAAAAATAATAGCTACTTTGGAGGGGTTTTGTTGTGTTGTTTGGTTGGTTGGTTGGTTTGGGTTTACTTTTGATTTGATTTTGTTTTTTTCTGTTTTGTTTTGTTTGGTTTGGTTTGGTTTGGTTGAGACAGGGTCTTGCTATGTAGTCCAGGCTGGCCTGGAAGTCAAGGTCCTCCTGCCTCAGCCTCTGAGATCACAGGCGTGCACCACCATGCTCAGCTCTGGAAGGTTCTTTTGAGGACTGGATGAGATATGTGAGTAAAACCTTAGCATAGTGCCAGGATAGAGAGAACATTGGATCAATGCATGCTTAAGAACAAAGAAAGCCTGCATCATCTCACAGACTGTTAGTTTGAAATTGTCACTCTTTACCCTCTCTAACATGGAGCTTTATGTTTTTAGTATTTTGTAAAGATTATAGGGGAAAAAGAAGCATCTCATGGTTTTAAACGTGTATTTTCAACCCCAAAACTCCTGTTAATGAGTTGACTCCATCTTGCTGCTCCATGTCAGAAAATAAATACTCAGCACTCCTCTCTCTTCTGTCACAGCTTATGGGGGAGGGTATCTGAGGAGGAGCCCTGGATGTGAAGGCGCCTTGTGCACGAGGCCTGGGCAACTAAGTGGCAGGTGTTTTCCACAGAACCTTCAGGCTTTGCCAGCGTCCTCTTGCTGGCCCTCATGAGAAGTTTGTGTGACCACCTCTCCTCAGCCAACCCAGGTGGCGGCCTCTGCCTTGAACAGTTCCAAATGACTCAGAACCCCCTGGCCCAGAGGCCCCTCCACACTTCCTGTGTGGGGTTCAGAAACCCGCCTCCCCACCCTGCCTTAGGTGCCTGCTTCAGAAAATGGTGAGTCTCCTCTTATAAAGCCCCCCACTTTTCATCCTAGCATTGGGAACAATGGCCCCCGGATCTTTCTATCCAGTGACTATTTTGAAAACGTCATTGTCTGGTTTCTTTTTCAGAAGTAGTAAGCTGACTACCTCTGCCATCTTAGTAGAGTGAGCGTCCGGTGCGAGAAGGATGAGGAGGAGCACTCTCTGGAGAGTTCTGGGCCTCTGCCTCCTAGCAGGTGAGTAGGATGGAAAGAAGGAGGGCATGTTTCTCCACACTGTTGGACGGCCAGCACTTAGGACCAAAGAGCCTCAGTCATCAGGACTGTACGGAACAATTTGTGCTGCAGTAGGGTGGGGGATTGGGACTGGAGGCAAACAAAAGAAATATGTCTAGGTGCCAGGGAGACCATCAGGGAACAGCCAAAGAAAAGCAGGCTCCCCACCACCACAACCAAGCCCTTCTGTCAGTAAACTTACCCAGAAGAGCTAATTGTCTGGGGCAGACTAGATACTTGAACCCAAAGTCTGCACAGGACACAGCAAATTTAATATATTTGAGACAAACACCTCAGAATTTTCAGTCCTGAGGTGACAAAGAGCTTTCAATTAGTTTAGTCCTCTCTGAAGCCAGGAAGGATATAAATTGATTAGTAATTTGCATATAATATATAAAGTAAATAATACAAAGAGTTACCATTCATTGAGGGCCAAAACTGAGTAAGGACAAATTCTTAACATGTGCTACCTGATTTAGTCCTTCCTCTACCTTGGAAGAAAGGTGTGACCCTCCTTATTTTACAGATAAAGAAATTAATGCTCAAGGAAGTTAAATAATTTCTTTTAAACCATACAATTAGTAAGTACTGAAGCCCATCTGGGAAATCAGGACTGTCTTCCATGTCCATGCTCAGGACGGCTGGACTATGTGAAGGCAAATGGTTTTTGATGGTTTTATTTCAAACACCTAGAAAATACTATCACAGCTGGGGCTCCTATCTCAAAGTCACAGCCATGATGTCTCCACTTCCTGCTTCACCTTAAGCTTCTGAAGCTATAATACGTACACAAAGAACCTGGGACCCTGTTAAAATGCAGCTTCTGCTTTAGACGTCTGGAGTAGGGACTGAGGTTCCCTTTGCTTTTGTTTTGTTTTATTTTGTTTGTGAGACACAGGATTTTGCTATGTAACTCAGGCTGGCCTTGGACTCGAGATCCTCCTTCTTCAGCCTCCGGAGTGCTAGGATTGCAGGCATGTGCCATCACACTCCTCGGGATTCCATATTTCTAATAAACTGTCAGGTCTACTAATCTATGACTGGTCCAAGGAACATACTTTGAGTCTCCAGGGGCAGGAGATGATTGCTACAGGGACAGGTCAGGCACTTTCTTAGAGGCCTGTGGTAAAAATTGTGTTCTTCCTAAGGAAAAAAAGAAAAGAAAAGAGGGAATATCAAAGACCCAGTCACCTCTAGAAATTTGCCATCTGTAAATGTGCTCGATTTGCTCTGGGGATGGGAGAATGTCTCCCCCATTGAAGAAACTATTAGTAAAACACAACTCTCAAGCAATGCCTGGGAAACTAGTCACTGTAATGGATCCAAGTTGTTGTTGAGTGAGGGACCCGGAGGGCCCAGAAGAAATGTGATCAGCTTCTTCATCACACAGGCTCTGATGGATAAGTAATCAAGGACTAATATTTCCACCTGTCTCGAGTAGAGAACAAGTAGAAAAACTGAACGATCAGACAAGCAGGACCAGAGACAAACGAGTCCTAACGTTTGTACCCAACACTCCCTGTCAGAGACCAATTTTCAAAATGGAGGCTGGGTTGCAAAATACCTTTGCTATTTCTCTAGTCATCTAAAAAGCAGCTCTAGGACTGGGGATGTAGCTCAGTGACAAAGTATTTGCTTCGCATGTTCTAGGTCCTGGGTTCGATCCTCAGCACTACAAAAAAAAAAAAAGCACTCTCAGCTTTTTCTGACTTGTTTGTCCAATACCCTGTGTTCCTGTTTGATGCTAGATGTTTCCTAAATTGGCCCAGCACCCCTGACCCTCACCCAGCAGTGAAAGTTACTTCTCTGAGGTATAGAAACGACTGTAATCCAGCAGAGGTGAGGAAGGACTTGAGATGTTTGATAATGGTCAGATTGGACCACAGCCCTTTCTCTGTTGGGTACTTACAACATTTACTAACTTTATTATTATTTATTTTCCAGTTGGCGCTTGGGGGCAGAACGGTAAGATATGCTTTCTTTTTTGTTATGAAATCAACCTAGTGTTCATGATACAGCCACATACCAAACAACAATGGTTTTTGTCAATGAAGTGATCTCACATACAGCAGTAACCCCATAAGACTACAAAGGAGCTGAACAATTCCTATGGCCTGTACCTTACTGTATCTTTTCTATGTTTAGATACACAAATACTTACCATTATGTCACAATTACCTACAGTGTTCAGAATAGTAATCTGCTACACGGGTTTGTAGGCTAGGAGCAATAGGCTGTACCATATAACCTCGGTGTGCAGAAAGCCCTACTATCTAGGCTTGTGTACGGACACTCCATGGTGTTCACACAATGATGAAATCGCCTAACGACACATTTTTCAGAACTGACTGTATTTGTGTGTGGATTGTTCTGTAGGCCTCCCACAGCACTTCCACAGAGACCAGAAAAACGGGTTTCTACTATGTTCCTGTGCCTTTTGCTCATAAATCTAGCCCCAAAGAGGGAATCAGCAGAGAGTGTAAGAAATAAGTCTTAACAATTCAAAGGAAAAATCGAGACTGTTAAAAAGTTGAAAGTACCAACAGTTTTCATTTGTTTGCATTTCCTATTTCACTCAACAATGACCTGCATTCATACAATGACCAGTTTCCCAGGCGAGTTTTATGTTTACCAATAGTTTCTTCCGTGGTGGGGGGAGTCATCCTATTTGATGTGTCGTTTCATAGAAGGGTTGTAGCTATCCAGCATGCACACACAGGGTGACCCTGGATAAGCCTTGGAGCAACATTTGGGTACACATGTCTGAGTACTCTGAATGTGTCTGAGAACTCTGAAGAACACGCAAGTGGGGCAAGTTGGAGCTTCCATGTGTTTTGTATAAAACATGAGTACCTTAAAGGCAGAGATGGTACCTCGTTGACCTGGCCAGTGTCTGTTCTGTAGTAGGTGCTTAATGAATGTTTTCTGAATGAATAAATGAACATAATATGAATGTCTTGCTAGGTCCTTCACCACAAGAACTGTCTTGTGTGAGAGACAATTGATAAGATAGTGTATTGATTGCAGAGTAAAATGAAGTACAAAAAGAGGAATGGTAAACTGGGCTCTGGTGGCTCACACCTGTAATCCTCACTACTCAGGAGGCAGAGACCAGGAGGAACACATAGGAACCCAGCCCAGGGAAATAGTTCACAAGACCCTATCTCAAAAAAACCCATCACAAAAAAGGGCAGGTGGAATGGCTCAAGGTGTAGGCCCAGAGTTCAAGCCCCAGTACCACAAAAAAAAAAAAAAAAAAAAAAAAAGGACTGGTAAACTCTACAGACTGTAGTTGAGAAAGGCTGGGGGGAGGGGATTTTGAGCTGAATGTTAAAGGATTAACTTGGACTTGCTGGAAGAGGAATACTTTAGGCAAAGGAGATACACTCAAACTCTGAAGCTAGACTGCCATGTTTCAATCTGGCTCAACTCCCTACTGGGTGTTATTGAATAATTTACTTAATTTTTCTGGGTCATTCCATCATTATTAGTAAAATGGAAATAAAAATGATACCTAGCCTATAGGGCTGTTATGAGGGTTTAATGAGTAATTCATTTAAGGCGCTTAGACCATCGTCTGCCACAGAAGGCGGTAGGGGAATTTTAGCTCTTATTTTATAGAAAGCACGCTGGCTATAGAGAATAAACACTAAAGTTTATTGAGCATGTATGTTCTAGGTATTACCCTAAATATTTTACCTGAATTTCCTTATCTAATTTTTTTTAAAAACATCATTATTCTTCAGCTAAGAAACAAAGGCTTAGAAAATAAGCAAGTCCAGTCACAGAGGATGATGTAGATTTGTGTGATAGCAGAGCTCACTTCCTTAACTGTTGTGAAATACAACCAATGCGTCTATACTGTTTGTGCACTCCCCTTTCTGAGCACAGCCATCCAGGGCCTTGTACAAGCACAAGTAAGTTTCAGCTCTGCTAATGGATTTGTGCCAATAAAAGTTGCAGGCAACTTCTTTACATTTGTTTTTCAAACAAGCCTAACAAGCAGACTGTAAGGTCTGTTAATTTTTAGTTTCTCTTATTTATGATTGCTGGTTCATGTATATTTCTAAGAAATACCGGTGCTGAAAAATTAAATCAAAATAACATTATATGTTGTCATTATATTCAACTCCCAGTTGTTCAGAGGTAGAGGAAGATTTGTTTACATTCTGTGGAGTCTACCAGATGACTGTCTGAACAGCTGAGTTAGTGCTCAGTTCTGTTCTACAGAATAGCAGGACCCCCAAAAGAAAAGAAAGTAACATTTTTCTTAAGCACGTGCTATGTGCCACCCACTTGCACATTCAACATTTATTTAATTATCATAAAAACCCTATGAGATGGGCATTTTATCTCCATTTCTCTAATTAAAAAAAAACTGAGACTGGGTATGGTGCCACACACCTGTAATCCCAGCATTCAGGAGGTTGAGGCAGGAGGATGGAGAGTTTTAGGCCAGCTTGGGCTACATTACGAGATCCTCTCTCAATAAATAAATAAATAAATAAATAAGTAGATTTTAAAGACAAGAAAAGAAACTAAGGTTTAAAGAGCCTTGCTCACACAGCCTAAGGCAGACCTGAGATTCGAACACAAGGCTTCTATCTCTGAGTCCAGTGCCTTTTCTCCAGCAGCATGTGATCTTTGAGCACACCACCTGTCCTCCCTTCCCGTTGTCATGTCCTGGCTCAAGTCTACCAGGTGTTTCCTGGAAGGATGGACCACCAGACCCATCTCCCAGGGCAAAACTGCCTGCTGTGGGGAATGTGGCTGGGTCCCCAAATTCCCTTAGTAGATTTCATTTGTCCACACCAATAGTCCCTCCCCCAACAACAATGACGGGAAGTTGAATATGCGAAGAGAGAGTGTAAAGTTAAGCCACTTTTTAACTGGAAAAGCCAGTCCCTTAAAATGTGCAGAGTATTCACATCATTCAAGGGCAGTACCAGAGAAAAGTATATGGAATAAGAAGAAATTTGTTTTATCTTGATTTTTAGGGAATCAATTTTAAGAAAAAAATTTCTGAGCCAGGCACCAGTGGCTCGCACCTATAATCCCAGCTACTCAGGAGGCAGAGAGCAGGAAGATTGAGGTTCAAAGCCAGCCCTATCTCAAAAAAAAACCCATCACCTTGGAGTGATTCAAGGCAAAGGCCCTAAGTTCAAACCCCCATACCGCAAAAAAAGAAAAAAGAAAAGATTTCTGAATGCTGAGAAAAAAGCAAGCACAAAAATCAGTGATATTCAAATATCATGTGTGGAGGTCTTTATCTCTGAGAAGTCCTTGTGATATCCACCTGGAAGATGGTTCTCACTAATGCAAGACAGCAAGTCTGAAGACTTCTAGAATTTTCCTCCCTTGGGACTTGTAAGACTTTCTAAGATTCTGCGGGCCTTGGCCTAAGAGCACATGATACTATATTTTTAATTTGTTGTGTCCAAACATACTTCAGAGGCTAAGTACATAGTTCATCTTTAAGACTCGGGGCTCCCTAAATGATGGGGCCATCTTCAGGAATTCTTGGGAAGAGTATCTAGTCCCACTAGAAAATGTTGACCTCAAATTTAAACTTAAATCAGAATTGTTTTCTTACTATTCTTTCCTTTTTTTCTTTTTCAGATGATGCAACACAGAAACGTGAGTTTATGGTCCTTTATTTATTTTTTATCTGAAGATGCAGCTTGGTGGGTAGAGGAGAAGAAACTGAGAGATTAGCCCCAGGACATGACATCCTCACAACACGACATTCCCAACCTCCATTTTAGAATAGAGACTTTTTGTGGGGTTTTCTTTTCTTCTGTCCTCCCTTCCATGCTCCTGCTACATCCTGAAGTCACCTTTTAGAAGGTTCTCTGATCCCTTTCTCCCACATACCTCCTCCACACCCCTAACCAGTCAGCCTCCCTTCTGACAAGCAAATCTAAGACCTGGTAACAAGCAGCTCCCTGCGTTTGATTGGTTCCTTTTGTTGCTAATTTGCCTTTTCTGAGATTTTACTGGTTTCCCCCCCAATTTCCTTTCTCTTCTCTTCCCTTCCTCAGCATATAAAGTCTCCATCTCAGGAACCACGGTCATGGTGACATGCCCTTTGGAGTCTGAATCTGACTCAGACACAATAAAATGGGAAAAAAATGATGTAGAATTACAGAATGAAAATGAAAAACAAGTGGTACTAAGGTCATTTTCGGAAACAGAGGACAATGGCTATTATGTCTGCTACGACAGTAACTCGAAGAAGAACCATTATCTCTATCTGAAAGCTAAAGGTAACACAGGAGGGTCCTTTCAAAGAGACATTCCTGGTAACTTCCCTAACCCTGGCCTCTCAAGCCTCCTTCCTGCACTCAATCCTGGGTCTCTCGTGGGTCATACATCAGTATTTTCTGGAATACAAATTAAACACACCAACATGGGGCTATCTAAGTAACCTCATCAGTGCTACATGTAAAATAACTTCCAGGCTTTGCAAGGTGAATCACACCTTTAATCCCAACAACTGAAGAGACAGAAATAAGGAGGATCAAGGTTTAAAAAGTTAGTGAGAAACCCATCTCAATCAATAAGTTGTATATGGTGATGTGCAGCTGTGATCCCAACTATGCAGGAAGCATAGGTAGGAGAATCATGGTTTGAGGCTCCAGGGCAAAAACTCGAGACCCTGTCTGGAAAATAACTGGGGGCTCAAGTGGTAGAGTACCTGCCTAGCAAGCATGAGACCCTGAACGCAAAGCCCAGTACCACCAAAAAAACCCCTAAAAATAAATAGTTTAATTCAATTCAGTAACTTCCCCTGAGATAAGCATGGATCATCTGCATTTTGTCACACCCAGACTTATGGTGCAGCAGCACAAGTTGACCTGAAGCTTTATCCAGAGATACATTCTTCAGGAGGATTTGCAGAGGAGACACAAAGCCACTGTTTAAAAACTTCTGAGATGAAACATTAGAAAAATAATAATAACAAGAGCTAACATTTATCAAGTGCTCATAAAATTTCAAGGGCTATGCCAAAAGTTCCTGTACCTGCCAGGAATTTTTTTCATGAATTTCAACATGAAATATGGGTTATGGACTATTACTCAACAGCCATATAGGTTACATACAACCCACAAGACTTCATGGGTTGGAAAAACATTTCACAATTCCCACAACTAGTGAGTAACAGAGCTGAGATTTGAACCCAGGACTGTTTGATTCCAGAGCCTCTCCTCCTACCACCCACTATGCTTGTTGTCATTGATATGAGCGAACTGACAGGGAGGGCTCTGGCTGTGGCGGGTGTGTGGGTGTTGGAGGAAGCGCCTTCGTTCCTTCCTCCCTCTTCTGGAGTGTCCTGGTGTTTTCCTTTCTTCATCAGTTGTCCTCCTCTCCCTGCCCCTCCTGTCCCCTGCAGTGTGTGAGAACTGCGTGGAGGTGGATCTGATGACCGTGGTCACAATTATCATAGTCGACATCTGTATCACTCTGGGCTTGCTGATGATTGTTTATTACTGGAGCAAGAATAGGAAGGCCAAGTCCAAACCTGTGACACGAGGAGCCGGTACCGGTGGCAGGCCCAGGGGTAAGACCATAGAGCTGAGCCAGAGGACACGTCCACCCAAGGGACATCCAGTCTGAGCCAGGATGGACAGCAAGTCCATAGCAAGGTCAAAGCAGTTTCTCTAGAACATTTACTGTAACACCAAGATCTCCATAGAGGGCTTCCCACCCCAAATCACTGTAAAAAGTCCATTAACGTGATAGGCTTCCTCAAACGCCTGTCAGTGCATCGCAGTAAATTCTATCCCCAAGCGATGGAAAGAAGAGAAACTTTTTCCTCTCCCTTTTCCCATGCAATGACACAATTGGAGGACCTGAGCTAAGGAAAGTCACAAATGATGTGAACAGTGTGGAGGTTCTTAGGGATGGAATGAAAGAAAGAAAAGAAAAAGGGTGGCTGGGTGGAAAAGGAAGAGTAGAGGAGAGGACAAAGGGGACTGTCATCCTTGGACTGGGTCTTTCAGCAGTTTATCAGTGCTGCAAGACTGGTGTCCCTCATGGAGATACTTTTCTCTTCCCTCCTCTGCAGGACAAAACAAGGAGAGGCCACCACCTGTTCCCAACCCAGACTATGAGGTAAGAGGGGATAGAGGAGCCATGTGCGCACCTCTGCCTCTTTCATGGAAGAGCAGGACCATTTCTGAGGCTCCAAAACCATGCAGAGACAGGGGGTTGGAGGGAGGCCCACTCTTCTTTTTGTGGTTTATTCATTGGCTGAGATACAGTCAAGGAAAACACCATATCTGCAAATTCTAACATGATAAACTAGGGCTGATCAGCATGTCCCGATGCAGTCAGCTAGTATTAAAAAATGCTTCATGGGTAAAGAGCCCATCCCATCCCACCCCCACTGTCAGACATCACAGCCCCTGCTCTAACAACTACCTCTTGGTTTGATAACTATTAAGAGCTAACGCCTGGCATAGGGGAGGACCACCAGGACTATTCTCATTGGTTGGGGTATGCACTCCCACTTGTTAAATAGTTTAACTGTCACACCTGGATAAACTCGACAAGGATTTATTGAGTACCAGGGAAGTATCTGGTTTTTCCCATCCCATGAGTGATTCCACTTCTTCCTGATGAGAACCCTACAGGTGAGTCTTTACTTTCCCCCTTTTGAGATGAGAGAACTGGAGCTCACAAGAGGAGGTGACCTGCTAAGTCTCCTCTCTGACCTTGCCAAGTTAGAATTCCAGCCTGCCTCCAGCCTCCAAGCCAGCATTCTTTCCACTGTGCTGCAGGCAGATCCCCAGTGCCTCTCTTCCTCAGGATCTTCCTCCTCCACCTGGCTAACCACTCCCTATTCCACTCCCAGCCCATCCGCAAAGGCCAGCGGGACCTGTATTCTGGCCTGAATCAGAGAGGAATCTGACCACTCCCAGGAACTGCCTTTCACCCCTGGTCTGGCCCTTTGGGCCCTCTGCAATTCCTTGTTCCCCGACAAGTCTGGGACCCCACGAGAGAATTGTTCTTCAGCCTCATGGTGAACTCACATCCTACAGCCTGGTCCCCGAGTCCCTCCTTCCTGCCTTCTCTGCTGGTGCCTAGGTCTAAGACATTGCTGCCTCACTGGCCCTCGAAGCATCCTGGCTAGTCAAGCCCTCACACCAAACCTACCATCTTTTCAGGAAGTGTATTTCTGCTATTCCTTCCCTGCCAACTTCTCCCTTTCCCCATGGATGTTATTACTGCCTTTAGTTCCCTCCTTTCCTTGCATATAAATTTTCCCTCATCCCTAACAATTCCATATAGCTTTCTGGTTTTCCAGCTGTCCTTTGCAACCTGCCCTGGGGATGAACTCGGTAAATGCTGACAGAGTACCTGCCCCAGAGCACAGAGTCATCTGTGAGCCCCTCCCGGTCCTTACCTTAGGCCACTGGATGGTTATTTGCATCGCTGTAAATGCACTAGGCTCTCCTCCTGGCAAAGAAAGGCAATAAAGTGTGTTTGGTTGAAGGAGTTGTTGTCCCTCTTGGCTTATTTTGTTTGTTTGTTGGGTTTGGTTTGGTATTTGTTTTTTTTGAGACTTACTATATAGCCCAGGCTGGCTTCAAACTCATGATCCTCCTGCATCAGCCTCCAGAGTGTGGACCACAGAAGTCCATAGAAGCTGCCTTGTTTCCTAAGTTACCTCAGGTTCTCTCCTCCTTTGACTGAATTCAATGGCTGCAGTATGATCCAAAGTTATCTGAAGCTGCCTTTGAAGAGGGCAATGGTGTGGGGGGAAAGGGGAAGGGTTGCCAGGAAGTTTGAATGACTCCTATTGGAAGAAAACATCAAAGGTGGCAGAGTGACTGATAGGTCCCTGATGGAGTGGTCACTGCATAAAGTGGGCAAGACTTCATAAAATGGTCACGAAATGGTGAAGGTACCAAAAGAGATGGGAGGAGGTGTACAGGGAAGCAAGGGGGCCTTGGGACTGGAACACATACTTCCACCAACTGCCAGGAAGAGCGGCTGAGTGAGGCTGGGGGAAGCAGAGAAAGGATGTGATCTCAGGCCTGCACCACTCCCTCCCACCCTCACAGCAGCTGCCTGCAGCCGGAGGCAGGCTGTGGTTAAGCAGCAGGATGTGGGCTGCACTGGGAGTAGGGCGAGAGAGGTGAAGCAGCAGCCAGGGCCTGGGAACCAGGCTGGGTGGGTTTTGCTCTAAGTCTCCCATAGCATACACTCAGCTTGCAGAAAGGAGACCAGAGCGTGAAGGAGCTGTTCTGGGCCAGCTCAAACCAGCAGGCTCTCTTCTCTCCCTCTCTGCACTAAGAAACCTCCTTGCAGCTCTCAGTGCTATTTCTGTGTATGACCATGAGTCCAAGGGCTTCTATGATTAGCATCCCTCCATACACTGCACCTGCTCAGCCTTGGGCTGTGGCTGCAGCCTCCATTTATTGGTGAAGTGACTAGTGAAATGTCACTTCTTGCCCTTGAAGCATCAAAGCTTATCCTCAAAAGGAGTCTTGGTGATGGTGCCCATCACAAGCTGCTGATCAGCAGACTGGCCCAAGGGCAGCTAATTTGGTTCCAGGTACATTAGATTGTGCCCAGTTAAGGAGAGCCACAGCTCAGTGTGATAAAAACAGTAACAGTTAATATTTATTGAGCCTTTTCTATACTCCAGAAATTGGGGTTACCTGTGCATGTGTTATCTCATTCAATCCTTACAATGACTTCGCGTGATAAATGTTGCCCTCATTTTACAGATGAGCGTCTTGAGGCTCAGAGAGGTTAATCTATTTGCTCAAGGCATAGTTGAGAGGGGCAGGGCTGGAATTCAAAGCCAGGACTGTGCCCTTAACATCTACCCAGCACTATGATCAGAAGGAATGGTCTCCATCCTATCAAATGTCCTTGGAAAGAAAAATGGAGGGGTTGAAATCCTGAGCAGGTTTCCTACCTGGGGCAGAGGCTGAGTAACACAGGACAAAGGTGGATGCTGAGGTGAGGAAGATGGCAGGATGTAAGAGCTGTAGATTACACATGGGATGCAGAGGACAGGAGGAATGCATACACATTGTAAAAGGACCACAGGACTGCAAGAGGATGTAGGAGTACAGGTGAGACACAGTGGAAAGGAGGAATGTAGCATAAGAGGAATATTAAAAGGATAGAGGAAACAAGGCACCGGTGGCTCACGCCTGTAATCCTAGCTACTCAGGAGGCAGAGACCAGGAGAATTGAGGTTCAAAGTCAGTCAAGGCAAATTGTTCATGAGGCCCTATCTTGAAAATTCCCAACACAAAACAGGGCTAGAGGAGTGGCACGTGCCTAGAAGCCTTGAGTTCAAACTCCAATACTGTTTAAAAAAAAAAAAAAGATAGAAGAAAAAAACAATTTTTATCACTGATCCAGATGGAATAACAAGAAGTGGATTTACCTTCCTTCCTGAAACAATTAAAATATGAAACAAAATAGGTTAAAACAATAATTTTTAAGACATCAGACATTAGACAACAATGGGCAATGATCCCTGAGATACAGGAAACAAGTAAAGTGAACCCCAGGGTTGCTCTACTTTATGACCTAGACATAGTTTCCAGGTGGTGACACAGGGAGGGAGAACCTAGGCACAGGCCAGAGATCAACCTGAGGTAAGCAGGCAGAGATGGGAGGTTGAGGCATCTAGAGTTTGTGGGAGAGAATACTAAAGAGTTGAGAATTGCAGTCAGAGATCTGAAGAGAGTCTCCCCTCAAGTTGTCAGCTGGATGGTGATCTGTGCACTCAAAACTACAAGAGGGCAAAGAAAGAATCACTTGAAAGGATTAGAGAGAAGAATCTTGTATCTCACACAGGACTGGAAGTAGTTATCTGACCTCACAGTTCAAGGGACATTGTGAAGAACTCTGTGCTCACCTGACAGAAGGAGCCAGTGATGTCTCAGGAGCCAGTCTTATAAGGGCACTAATCCTGTTCATGATTGCTCCACCCTCATCACCTCATCACCTCCCATCACTTTGGGGGTCAGGATTTCAACGTTTGAATTGGGAGGGGGCAAAGCATTTCATTCTATAACAGTTATGAACAATTTATGCTAATACGTTATATGAAATTGACACATTTCTCAAAAAAGTTTGCTGAATATGAAATAAGTAGTTAGCCTAAATAGTCCTTTTTAATAAATAAATTGAATTTGTAGTTTAAAAACTTTCCCACATAGAAAATGGAGAGATCTCCCATGCTCATGGATTGGTAGAATCAACATAGTAAAAATGTCTATACCCCAAAAGTAATCTACATGTTTAATGCAATTCCCATCAAAATTCCAATGACATTCATTAAAGAGACTGAAAAATCTACCGTGAAATTTATATAGAAACACAAGAGGCCACAAACAGCCAAGGCAATATTCAGTCAAAAGAACAATGCCGGAGGTATCACAATACCTGACTTCAAACTATATTACAAAGCAACAACAATAAAAACAGCGTGGTACTGGCACAAAAACAGACATGAAGACCAGTGGAACAGAATAGAGGACCCAGATATGAAGCCACACAATTATAACCAACTTGTCTTTGACAAAGGAGCTAAAAATATACGATGGAGAAATAGCAGCCTCTTCAACAAAAACTGCTGGGAAAACTGGTTAGCAGTCTGCAAAAAACTGAAAGTAGATCCATGTATATCACCCTATACCAATATTAACTCAAAATGGATCAAGGATCTTAATATCAGACCCCAAACACTAAAGTTGATACAGGAAAGAGTAGGAAATACTCTGGAGTTAGTAGGTATAGGTAAGAACTTTCTCAACGAAACCCTAGCAGCACAGCAACTAAGAGATAGCATAGATAAAAGGGACCTCATAAAACTAAAAAAGCTTCTGTTCATCAAAAGAAATGGTCTCTAAACTGAAGAGAACACCCACAGAGTGGGAGAAAATATTTGCCAGCTACACATCAGACAAAGGACTGATAACCAGAATATATAAGGAACTTAAAAAACTAAATTCTCCCAAAACAAATGAACCAATAAAGAAATGGGCAAGTGAACTAAACAGAACTTTCTCAAAAGAAGAAATTCAAATGGCCAAAAAGCACATGAAAAAATGCTCACCATCTCTAGTAATAAAGGAAATGCAAATTAAAACCACACTAAGATTCCACCTCACCCCTGTTAGAATAACCATCATTAGCAACACCACCAACAACAGGTGTTGGCGAGGATGTGGGGAAAAAGGAACCCTCATACACTGTTGGTGGGAATGTAAACTAGTACAACCACTCTGGAAAAAAATTTGGAGGCTACTTAAAACGCTAAACATTGATCTACCATTTGATCCAGCAATACTACTCTTGGGGATATACCCAAAAGACTGTGACACAGGTTACTCCAGAGGCACCTGCACACCATGTTTATTGCGGCACTATTCACAATAGCCAAGTTATGGAAACAGCCAAGATGCCCCAGCACTGACGAATGGATTAAGAAAATGTGGTATCTATACACAATAGAATTTTATGCAGCCATGAAGAAGAACGGAATGTTATCATTTGCCGGTAAATGGATGGAATTGGAGAACATCATTCTGAGTGAGGTTAGCCTACCCAAAAGACCAAAAATCGTATGTTCTCCCTCATATGTGGACATTAGATCAAGGGCAAACACAACAAGGGGATTGGACTTTGAGCACATGATAAAAGCGAGAGCACACAAGGGAGGGGTGAGGATAGGTAAGACACCTAAAAAATTAGCTAGCAGGCACTATTCACAATAGCCAAGTTATGGAAACAGCCAAGATGCCCCAGCACTGACGAATGGATTAAGAAAATGTGGTATCTATACACAATGGAATTTTATGCAGCCATGAAGAAGAACGAAATGTTATCATTCGCTGGTAAATGGATGGAATTGGAGAACATCATTCTGAGCGAGGTTAGCCTGGCTCAAAAGACCAAAAATCGTATGTTCTCCCTCATATGTGGACATTAGATCAAGGGCAAACACAACAAGGGGATTGGACTATGAGCACATGATAAAAGCGAGAGCACACAAGGGAGGGGTGAGGATAGGTAAGACACCTAAAAAACTAGCTAGCATTTGTTGCCCTTAATGCAGAGAAACTAAAGCAGATACCTTAAAGCAACTGAGGCCAATAGGAAAAGGGGACCAGGAACTAGAGAAAAGGTTAGATTAAAAAGAATTAACCTAGAAGGTAACACCCGCACAGGAAATCAATGTGAGTCAATGCCCTGTATAGCTATCCTTATCTCAACCAGCAAAACCCTTGTCCTTCCTATTATTGCTTATACTCTCTCTACAACAAAATTAGAGATAAGGGCAAATAGTTTCTGCTGGTATTGAGGGGGAGGAGGGGTGGAGTGGGTGGTAAGGGAGGGTGGGGCAGGGGGGAGAAATAAACCAAGCCTTGTATGCACATATGAATAATAAAAGAAAAATGAAAAAAAAAAAAAAGAATGAAGAACAACAAAAAAAAAATAAAAAAATAAAAAAAATA